ACTGTTTACTGTGGGTGTCCCTCCAATCTGATTGGGACAGTGCTTTTCCTGATAGGTCAGAGTCCCTGCTGAATCAACTCTTAAATAATTTGAGTATCACTCCCGTATCTCGGAGTTATCCAAGGCATGGTGTCCCGAGTCTGGTTTAACTGGCCTTTCCCCGTATACCAACCAGAGCACACGTGCCCAGTGCTCTGGGAAAGCACAGGCTACGGGTCAGGTGGGGTCTCAGATGTCACATCTGTAAAATGGAGATTGTAATCATGCCTCCCGTATCGTTTATACATGTCAGATCTGGGAACAGCACTTGGTAAACGTTAGCTGCTGCTATTACTAATAGTATAATCATCATTAGTATTAGATAATGATTCTGCAGAAGTGTTGGGCTGTATCACCCAAGAGGGCAGACACAGGGATGGTGCCTCTATTCTGTGACCTGTAGCTGTGAGCAGGGATGCCTTCGAAGGTCCTAGAGGCAAGAGAGATTAGAGAAAGTACCTGGCTTGTGCTCCCCTCCTGTGTTATCACCTGCTTTCCTGCCTTCAGCGCCCACCACACAGGAGTGGCAGACCTGACCGTTACACAGGATAGTAGCCTGGACTGTTTCTCCTTAGCATATCCTTGGAACGTGTTTCCTTATCTGAACTGCCTCGTGCGGCAGCTTTGAATCCTTAGATGGGTAGCTCCTCAGCAACTCACTCTACCTTTCAGAACTGCGAGTATAGTTAATAACTGGAGACATGCATATGAAATAGAGGCAATAATACCTACCTGATAGGATCATTTGGACCACATAATACCTGGATGATGCCCAGTGCCCAGAGTGCTGCAGTGTAGATGCTCAGTTAACGTTAACACCTTTCCCCTTTCCTTTCATGTCTCCATCTTGACTTATTATACAACTCTGTCCGCATTCTGGCCTCTTTCTCTCATCTAGGCTATTGAAATAGCCTCCTTACTGGGTCCCCTTGTTCTGGTTCCTCTCTCCCCGTCCTCACCCCCAATCTCTCCTATATCCTGCTCCAAATGTATTCTTCCTAGATTACAAAGCTTGTGCATAAATCCCTTTTTTAGAAAAAAAAAGGAAAAATAAAAGAGAGTCTGTTTTTTTCCTCAATATGATGGCCTACAGATTCTGAAACTCTCCCATTATAAAAGATCTAAAAATGATAGATAAAATATTTTTAACCCTTTTTTAAATGAATGAATGAGCCTGTAACAATGGAAGGGAAATCCTGTTAGGCTGGGAATAAAGCCCGAGTGCAGATCTAGGTGGGTGAGCTAACCTTGGGGCGCTAAGCCTTCAGGGCAGGTTTGGATCTGGGTGGCCAACCAGTACTGGAGGTAAAATTACACAGTGTCTAACACCGAAGAGCAGAGAGACGGGGAATACAGAAGAACAGTTAAGACACAGGCTGAATGAAATGAGAAGTCAGAGTGGAGTGTTAGAAAATTACAATAGTGGAGACAACAAGGAGAGACAGTATTCAAAGATAGAATGGCCACAGGTTTTTCAAAATGATACACACGAATCCCAGAGAACACCAGGCAGCATAAATTTAAAGAAACCCATGCTCAGAGAAAACACTTAGGGTGGGCATCCCAACAGTGATGGTAGCCAAAATACAGTGAAATGATAGCTTCATAAGAAGAAATAACTACTAGAATTTTTAATGAAATATTTTTTGTATAAACAAAAATTAGAAAAATAGACTACAATCAGCAATAAGTTAGGGTACCCTTTAAAACAACTAAAAGAGTGGAATTGGAATGTTCCTAACGTGAAGATATGATAAATGCTTGAGATGGGTACCCCAATTACCCTGATTTGATTGATTCACATTGTATGCCTATATCAAAACACATGTACCCTATAAAGATACACAACCATGATGTACCCACAATAATTAAAAATTTCAAGCAAATTTTTTTAAATAGAAAAAGATTTACCACCAAGAAGTAATTGAAAATGGCCTCTGAAGAACAGTGAGGTACAGAAAGAAGTGATGAATGAAGATACGAGTAAACGTGGACAAATCTAAGCAGACAGCAGCAGTTTATAGAAAAATAACGATGTCTATTTCAGTAGCATTTTTTTAAAAGCTAAAGTGTGACACTTATCATGTAAGGTAGGAGGCAGATGATTGGAATGAAAACATTCCAAGGTCCTTTTATTTTTAGGAAGAAGAAAAGCAATTGATTATCTTTGGACTTTACATATGCATATTAAAAACTGCCGTAAAAGCACGTCTAGCACAGAAAATGACCTTGTAGTCAAGTTCAGCAAACACCTTCTCACAGTAGCTACCTGGACGTTTGTTAGATACATCCGCATACCAGCGCCCCAACACCCCTGTACTTAGAGCCTTGCAGTCCACACATTAAGTTTCCAATCAGGAATCTTTTCCCTCATTCCTCCCATCCTGGTCATTCTGTGACAACAGTTACAACTCTTTACCTGGTCCTATGTACTTAATAACTCGTGTGCTGTGGAATCAGTTTTAACTCCTCCCACAGTGGTCATGAGGAAGGATGCTCTTCATTCATTGGTGTCTGGCCTGTCGCCTCACCTGATGATCCTCACCGAGGTGCAGCCCCAGTGGCAGCGCTGGATGTGAGGTTTTAAAATCAGAGCAGTGGAGTGTGACTCCAGCAAGCCTCCCCAGCCTACTCCAGTGCACAGCTGTCCCTTGTGCCCTGCATTCTACTTGTTAGACACACACTGTCTAGTGTGTTAAACGAAGATATTAATAGCAATAGTACCTTCCTCTTAGCGTTGTGGTGTGAGTTCAGTGAATTAACACAGGTCAGAGCACTTAGGGCGGTGGTCGTCTAGCATAATATCTGAATATTACACTGTTGAGCACTTGCTGCTAGCTTGTATTTTTGGCAGGATTATAGGTTGCTTCATTCACATCTTAGACAACTAAATTATAATTGACCTCTAAGACAAGATAAAGTTTTACACTTCCGTGGGAGATGGAAAAGTTAGAGAAAAGGTTAATGCTCACTCCCTTAGCAAGCATTAGTCACTCCTGGGTGACTTTTAAGATCAATTTCACTTGGCGAGCTCTTTGGAATCGATTTCCAGGTAGTAGACTTAGCATGGTCATGAGAAAAAGCTGCTAAAAATTTTGTGAACATGTCCATGGATTCACAGATTTCTGCTTCCAAAGTAGAAAAATAGATTTGTAGATCTTTGAACTTAAAGGCATCTCAAGATGCCAGTAAACTAGCTCCAGGGCTTTGGGGAAAGCCTTTAAACTCCAGGACCTGTGGTCTCCTATTGAAAACAAAAGGATTTTCTCTAAGTTCCCTTCCAGCACTAGTGTGTTGCCCTAAGTTATGTGAATTACCCACCTTTTAACATGAAGCAGCTGAAGTACTGATAGGTTGAGTGGCTTGTCAGGAGTTAGCCAGTTAGGGGTTGGTGGGGGAGAGGATGGGTTTAAGACGAGGTGAGATCCAGAAGGGGCTAGAAATCTGGTCTGCCTTCCAGTCTGGCGCCTCCCCTAACCATGTCACCTGTGCTCCTGCTGTGCCACAGCTCCCCCGGCCCCTGGTCACGTGTGTGTGCACTTCCCACGTGGGCAGGATCAGAATCTGAACTGTTGGATGTACAGTGAATATTTATTATATATTTTCTCTAGGGCTCATACTGGTCACTTTTTTTCTTTATAAAGAAAGGATAATGCTATTATCCTCTTTTGGTCATATATTTTTGAGTACACACTTTTAAACCTCCCCTGGTGGAAACAGAAGGATTTATGTTTTTTACTTCCCCTGGAAACCTGCAGAGCGGATGTTTTGAGTCCTTTCTTGCCAGGTGGGTATCTCAGTATGGTGTTGGCAGGAGCACCTGTATTGTGTATATTCACCTAGTTCCAAGCCTAAGAATTCCTGAATATTCAGTGTCAAAAGAGATTTAAAGGATTTGCTTAAAGTAGTAAATGTCCTAATTTAATCCAGGTTAAAGAAAGCCTAAAGATAGCCAAGTATTTGATAAAAGAATATACATAAATGGCCCTCCCTGTATATTTGGGCAGACATGTTTGGAAAAGTGACATTCAGGTGATATTTTCCAGTTACAGATTTTAACTTGATTAAGACTAAAAATAAAAAAACTATTTTGCTAATCTGTGCTTTTGCTTTAGGACAATTTATAAGATTTTATATAAGTCAGTAGAGAAATATTACTTTATAGTCCGGAAAAATATAAACAAAAGGAAAGTAAGGACTTCTGAAAGAATTAATTTGGAGAATTTTTATATCAGTGCCTAATGTCTGCCTTGCACTATGCTAGGTTCTGTGAATTCTAAAGATGAAGGGCAACCTTCTCTGAAGTCATTCACAGGCTAGTGACAGACATGTAGACAGCAAATTACATTGCAGCAAGATCTGCGGCGAGATATGCACGGGTTGCCATAGGAGTAATAATAATTAAAGTTATAACCTGGTTGAGGGGAGTGTGGGGGAAATGCCAAGAGTGATCCTTTCATATTCTGAGATTGTTTTATGACTCTTACAGACTCCGAAGAAGCCATAAGGATCTGGTATAATGAGCTTTTTATGCTTTCTTTTGAATTATTATGTATTTATAATATACTTTTTTTGCTTTCCAAGTCTATAAGTCATCTCTACTAGAGGGCAGGCTGCACACACAGCCTTGCTACCTGGGTTCGATTCCCGGCTTCTCCTCTTCCTAGTTATATGACCATTAGTAGGTTACTCTCCACTGTGCTTCGGTTTTGTAAAAAAAGAGGAGAGTAATAGTATCTACCAGGCAGGATTATTGTAAGGATTAAATATGATATGTAGGAAACATTTTAGAATTCTGCCTGGTACACCTTAAGACTCAACATAATTTTAGTTCTTATTGTTATTAGTTTTGGTAGCTAATAAACTAGGAATATTGAAACACACCATGTTGATCATTTAGATTCTCTTTCTAAAATGCTAATTTACACCAAATAAAATCTTACATTTTTTTTCCTTTCTAGCTCCAAGAGGAAAGCGAGGATGGAAAACCTTTTATGCTGTACTGAAGGGAACAGTTCTATACTTGCAAAAGGTAAAAGCAAAATAAATAAAAAATAAAACTCAAAGCTTTATGAAATGACAAATGAGGTACTCAAAGAGATATTCACTTTGTACAACAAAGCTATGTTAAACACTCAAAAGACTGTTTAATTGTTTAAATTCTTTCTCATTGTTTTTGGTGAAAACAGTTCAGTGAAAAAATTATCTGTGAATACCCAAACACAGACACATAAAATACATGATCAGAGGAATGGTGGGGCTGTGTTCTGATTATGTTCAGTAAGAAATTTTGAACATAACCTGGTAAGTTAGACTTCATATGGTCTATGCAGGTACAGACCTGTGGCAGCACTTGTTTCAGTAGATGTTTATGCTATGAGTTAGTTATAGCTTTCATTTATATATGATTTAACTGTCTTACTTTCAATCCTACCTAAAGCTAGACACATGCATTTTTCATTCATGTCTGTAAACATGTGTACTTAACAATGCAAGTGTATTCCAGATCACCTGGGTAAGGGTTTGACCAGAGCGTTCCCTGTCAGGATCCTTTCTTCCAAGTTGTACAATCTGGAAATCTGTTTGGGATCCAGTTTATGAGTTCTGACCTTTTGAAGGGTAGTCGCTGGAGCTTGCACCTCCCCAGCTCTGTGTGGGTGGAGATGGGGAAGGTGTGCGTTGACTGGAAGGAGTACAGGGTCTTTGAGGATTCTAGCTCCCGCTGTGAAGGGGCAGTCACTGAATTTAGGGCCAGTAGGAAACAAGGCAGAACAACACTGCCCTCAGTGGTGTCTGATAGGGAAAGATTTTTTTTTTTTTTTAACTGTGATAAAAAAACACATAACATGAGATCTACTGTTTTAAATTTTAAATGCATAGTCTGGTATTATTAACCATACCCAAGTCAGTGGAATCCTGTAGCATTTGTCCTTCTGTGTCTGCCTTATCTCACTTAGCACAAGGTCTTTCCTGGTTCATTCATGTTGTAGCATGTGTCAGAATTTCCTTCCTTTTTGCGTTTGAATATTACATTGTATGTATATGCAGAAATCCCCCGTTACCTGCAATTTCGCTTTCCAGTTTCAGTTACCCGTGGTCTGAAAATATTGAATGAAGAATTCCAGAAAGAAACAATTCTTAAGTTTTAAACTGCATGCCATTCTGAGTAGCGTGATGAAATCGCACTGCCCTGCTCCGTCCCTCCTGGGATGTGAATCATCCCTTTGTCCCATATACCCAGGCTGTGCCCGCCTGCCCTTTAGTCACCTAATAGCTGTCCCTGTTATCAGATGAACAGTTATGGCATCACAGTGCTTGTGTCCCGGTAACCCTTATTTTACTTAATAATGGCCTCAGAGTAGTGCTGCTGGCATGTTATTATATTGACCTATTATTAGTTATTGTTGTTAGTCTCCCACTTTGCCTAATTTAGAAATTAAACTTTATCTCATAAGTATGTATGTATAGTGAAAAACAGAGTATACAGTCATCCCTCTGTTTACTCGGGGGATTGGTTCCAGGACTCCCCCCGAATGTACCAAAATACAGTATACCCTGTGGAACCCACATATTCGAAGTCAGCCTTCTGTAGACTTGGGTTTCATGTCATGCAAATGCTTTACTTTCCATCCACGTTTGGCTGAAAACGATCAGTGTATACAGGTAGACCTGTGCAGTTCAAGCCCCTGTTGCTCAAGGGTCATCCTTGTGTAGGGTTCGATATTACTGTGGTTTCCAGCATCCCCTGAGAGTCTTGGAATGTGTCCCCTGTGGGTAAGGGGGGACTACTGAAAATAAATCCCACTTGGTCATGCTATATGATCTTTTTAATATACGGATGAAGTCAATTTGATAGTATTTTGTTTAGGGTTTTTACATCTATGTTCATCAAGGATATTGGCCAAGCAATTTTCTTTTCTTACAGTTTTTTGATTTTTTTTTTCTGGTTTAGATATCAGGGTCATGCTGGCCGTGTAAAATGATCTTGGAAATGTTCCCTCCTCTTCAGTTTTTTTTGGACGAGTTTGAGAAGGATTGGCATTAGTTCTTTAACTGGTGGAGTTCATTGGTGAAGCCATCTGGTCCTAGGCTTTTCTTTGCTGGGAGGGTTTTATTGCTATTTCAGTCTCCTTGCTGTTATAGATACGTTCAGATTGTCTACGTCTCCATAGGTCAGTCTTGGTAGGTTGTATGTTTCTAGTAATTTATCCATTTCTAGGTTATTCAATTTGTTGGCATATAATTGTTCATAGTAGTTTCCTATAATCCTTTTAAGTTATGTGACATCAATTGCAATGTCTCCTCTTTCATTTCTGATTTTATTTATTTAAATGTCCTTTTTTTTCTTAGTCAAGCTAAAGCTTTGTCGATTTTGTTGATCTTTTCAAAAACAAGTTCTTAGGCTGGAGACA